TTGATTAACGAACCCGTCAAGTAGAGGCATACTAGGGACACTCTGTTTGTCTATGTATTTACACATGTATTAAGTTTCCGGTTAGTACAATTCTAGCATAAATAATAAACATTTATCATGATATAAGGAAATATAAATAACAACTTTATTATTGCCTCTATAGGGCATATTTTCTTCAATTTCCCTATGCCTCTGTCATAGGTTCTATAAAGTATGCTATGTTGTGTACCAGACCTATTATGTACCTCACCATGAGTTTGGCAAGAGGGTACAATAGTGATCCAGGAGTGGATCACTAGACAACGGTCAAAATTATCCTTAGTTACCTAAGAGGACTAAGGAAATGTTTCTCAGTTATGGAGTTGATAAAGAGTTCGTCGTAAAAGAGTTACGTCGATGCAAGCTTTAACACTAATCCAGATGACTCAGAATCTCAATTTGGATACATCTTGAAAGTGGGAGCAATTAGCTGGAGTAGCTCAATGGAGAGCACTTTAAACATAAAAAATTGCGAAATACATACGGATCTGAATGTGGTAGACCGTTGACTAAGCTTCTATCACAAGCAAAACATGATCACACCTTAGTACTTTTTGGGTGTTAATCACATGGCGATGTGAACTAGATTAATGACTCTAGTAATACCTTTGGGTGTAGGTCACATGGCGATGTGAACTATTGGTGTTAAATCACACGATGATGTGAAGCAGATTATTGACTCTAGTGCAAGTGGGAGACTGAAGGAAATATGCCCTAGAGGCAATAATATAGTTGTTATTTATATTTCCTTATATCATGATAAATGTTTATTATTCATGTTAGAATTGTATTAACCGTAAACTTAGTACATGTGTGAATACATAGACAAACAGAGTGTCCCTAGGATGCCTCTACTTGACTAGCTCGTTAATCAAAGATGGTTAAGTTTCCTAACCATAGACATGTGTTGTCATTTGATGAACGGGATCACATCATTAGAGAATGATGTGATGGACAAGACCCATCCGTTAGCTTAGCATTATGATTATTTAGTTTTATTGCTATCGCTTTCTTCATGACTTATACATATTCCTCTGACTACGAGATTATGCAACTCCCGAATACAGGAGGAACACCTTGTGTGCTATCAAACATCACAGTGTAATTGGGTGATCATAAAGATGCTCTACAGGTGTCTACAAAGGTGTTTGTTGGGTTGGTATAGATCAAGATTAGGATTTGTCACTCCTTGTATCGGAGAGGTATCTCTGGGCCCTCTCGGTAATGCACATCACTATAAGCCTTGCAAGCAATGTGACTAATGAGTTAGTTACGGGATGGTGCATTAAGGAATGAGTAAAGAGACTTGCCAGAAACGAGATTGAACTAGGTATGATGATACCGACGATCGAATCTCAGGCAAGTAACATACTGATGACAAAGGGAACAACGTATGTTGTCGTGCGATTTGACCGATAAAGATCTTCATAGAATATGTAGGAGCCAATATGAGCATACAGTTTCCGCTACTGGTTATTGACCGGAGATATGTCTCGGTCATGTCTACATAGTTCTCGAACCCGTAGGGTCCGCACGCTTAACACTCTATGACGATTTGTATTATGATTTTCGTGTTTTGATGAACCAAAGTTTGTTCGGAGTCCCGGATGAGATCATGGACATGATGAGGAGTCTCGAAATGGTTGATGCATAAAGATTGATATATTGGAAGGTTATATTCGGACACCGGAATGGTTCTGAAGTGTTTCGGGTATTTTCTGGAGTACCGGGAGGTTATCGGAACCCCCTGGGAGAGTAATGGGCCTTAATGGGCTTTAGGGGAAAGGAGAGAGGGGCCTCAAGGGGTGCCCCCCTCCCATGGGCTGGTCCGAATTGGACTAGGAGGGGGCGGCGCCCCCTCCTTCCTTCTCCCCTCCTTCCCCTTGCCTCATTCTCCTAGTTGGAATAGGAAAGGGGGGGCCGAATCCTACTTGGACCGGGAGTCCAAGTAGGACTCCTCCCTATGGCGCGCTCCCCCTATGGCAACCTCCTCTCCTCCCCCTTTATATACCTGGGAGGGGGCACCCCAAAGGCACACCAAAGTTTCTCTTTGCCGTGTGCGGTGCCCCCCTCCACGGTTACACACCTCAGTCTTATCGTCGTAGTGCTTAGGCGAAGCCCTGCGCTGGTAGCTTCATCATCACTATCGCCACGCCGTCGTGATGACGGAACTCTCCCTCGACCTCAACTGGATCAAGAGCTCGAGGGACGTCATCGAGCTGAACGTGTGCTGAACGCGGAGGTGCCGTACGTTCGGTGCTTGGATCAGTTGAATCATGAAGACGTTCGACTACATCAACCGCGTTATTAAACGCTTCCGCTTTCGGTCTACGAGGGTACGTAGACACACTCTCCCCTCTCGTTGCTATGCATCTCCTAGATAGCTCTTGCGTGATCGTAGGAAATTTTTTGAAATACTGCATTCCCCAATAGGGGTATCCGAGTGGGATAGTTGGTCAAGTGGATTGTACTCCAAGGTGATTTCAGTCGGTATCTTCTGTTGTACTTTGAATGTCCTTGACTCTAGGGTTGTGTCCTTGGGTAGGGCGTCTAGGTCAGGCCTATGACCCTACCCTAGGTACATGTCATCGTCAGGTGAAGCTTGGGGTGAGAGATCTGAAGAAGATTCATGGTTCTACCGAAATGACTACAATAGAGCTTTGGGTTTTTAGAATGACCTTTGAGGTTGAGATAGTGGTGGAGCAGGGTTGGTTTTCTAGGCCTGGAAAGAGAGGTGGAGATGATAGTTTACTACATAATCCAAGAGAAGAAGATACCAGTGAGAGAAGATTGACTAAGAAAAATACAGCGTCAGAAGCTAAGAAGGAGATCATCAAATTGGGAAGTCTTTCTCTGGCTTATGAGGTTTTGAATGTTGACAAAAATAATGTAGAAGCATGAAAAGTGGCTAGTGACACAGACCCCTCAACTGATGGTTTAGTGGATGATTTTAACTGCTAAAAAGAAAGAGATGGAGGAAGAGAATGCTAGACAATCTGTTAAAATTGCTATGGATGGAAAAAATAATGAGAGACAACAAAGTTGAAGGTGGAACTTTAGAAGCAGAACAAGCGCTTGCAGAAATTGCTACAACGGTTCTTAGACAAGAATGAAGCTAATAAAAATAAAGGTGACGTGACTCCTAGGGAAGGAGAGGATGAATTAGAGAACTGCATGGAGGAAAAGATTGGTGACACAAGAGATAACTATTTGGAACTTGTTGATTACAATGCTAGTCAGATCGAGATTGTATCTTCATAGGAGTCTTTTGGAAAGGTAATAAAGAAAATTACAGGCATTACTGACTTCCGTGATCAAGTGGAGGAGACTGGTGAGGATGGTCCATAGGCTCATAGCCAGGGAAGATGTTAGAGTGGAGGACATGACTGAAGAGAGGGCAACATCGAAAGATAATTATGATAATGAATCTGTTCCTGATCTTTTAGACTTAATAACCCCTCTCTTTTGACTATGTCTTCTTGCATTGGATGTACTATGTATTTGATTGGACATAACATAGAGATTATGAGGAAATTAGAGATGGCTAGATTAGATATGCTTTCTAGTCATGATATCACTACTAGAGATGCTGACTTGAATGAGTTATGTTCTGACAGAGATAACCCTAACATTGACTTGGAGAACAAAATACTTAAGAGAACTGAAACAAGTTTTTCCTCTAAGAAAAATAGGGACCTTTTGGCCCGCAATTGTTAGGCTAAAAGAAGGCATACCGGTAAATAGGTATGCTATCAAGAATTAAAAAACGTAAAAACTCCTAATGAAAGGTTTATTCTGGAATGCTGGAGAGATTGGTTGGGAGATTAGAAAAAGATTTATAAGAGAGTGTAGTGGATCACTCTTTAGACTTCCTAAGAATTCAGGATACCATGAAGGACCACTTATCTAATAAGGAATTGCACTCCTTTTGTGGAGGATTTACCCTGCAATTGTTGAATATCGTTGACCACACGCACACAAAAAGGGGAACGTCGTCGCATCTCAGCTCAAGAGCTCATATTTCTCACGCACAAAGGTGCACCGGAGCCTAGGCCCCCGCTCGCTTGCAATGCAGCCATGGCCGCCGTTGCTGCACACCGCAACGCCGGTTCACATCACCTTCATTCGCCGATCCTAGCGTGATGCGATGCCGGCCGTGGCAGGTCCGTAACCCCATTGCAGCTCCCTGTGGGCAACGTCATGCAGTGTACTGCACCGCCGGCTGCAACTCCGTGTGCTCATGCTTAGCCAACCGTTGCAGCTCTGGTGGTTTGCTTTATATAAAACGGGACGAACGCCTTTTTCGATAACTGTTGCAGCTTTGGCACACTTGGTTGTAGCATCTGCGGTACAGGGTTGTAGCAAATCATCGACAACGTCGTCGCCGATTGTTGCACCGGTGTGCACGATGGTAGCAACGCCGAAAACTAGTTGTAGCTCCTGCAGTATACGGTTGTAGCATTCGCCGTTGACGCCATCCAACGGTAGTGTGGTGAGCTCGCTGACTAGGCTAATGGACGTGGGAGAGCAACATCAACGGTCAGGGCCCGCCGTCGGTCACAACGCTCGACCACCATCGTCCCAGCACGCGGTGCCCACCGCCGAAGCTCAAAAAACAGGAGCCCGTGTTGCGCGTCCTCGGTGCAATCGAGTAGCGAGACGCCAACGATCTCGCTGCCATCCAGGAAGGAGATTAGCATCTGGGCGGTAGCAACATGATACTTTTATCGCAAGATGATTTGCACTAAGACAAAAAAGGGAGATGGATGCGGCTTGAGAGAGAGGTTGAGGAATGAGGACCCCTCGCTAGAGATAAGGAAGGAAAAGCGGTGTGCAGTGCCGCATCAAGTCGCGTGTGGCGATCGACCGGCGGAAAACGTGGCCAGAGGGCCAGGGAGAATCATTTACCTATAAAAAAAGGACAACAACATAAAGTTGACACAGATAAGCAGTTCCATCAGCTAATCAGAATCAGAGGGCCGAAAAAAGGGATCCCAGACGGCTAGGCATGCACTGGGATCACGGGCAAACATGCAAGCCGTGAAAACAGACCAGGCCACAGTGACTTCCATCTCGCATGACCCAATCTTCATGATACCACAGCTTCTACCAGCTTTCTTAGGCGTGAAAACCATATCAGCACTCTCTCCAACAGCTTCCTTGTCTTCACCTCGCGCCGCGACAGAAACTTTCAGCTTTCCATCAAGTTCAACGCAAGCAACGTCTCGTGAAAGCGCGATCATGCCACAGGAATCAACACGTAATATACCATCTCGAAAAGCAAGCAACGTGACCTCCATGTGATGTATGCTGGCGGTACTTGCGGTAAATACACCTCGGAAACCATCTGGCCATGTCCCACCTATGAATCTCACACTGATCGTGGCCTCCACCGAGCGAACAATGTGGCCAAATGTCAGCTCCAGTGTACTAAGCAGGCTAGTCATAACTCTATTAATCACGCGTGAACGATTCTCCGAGTCGTAACAATTGTACCGTGTAATGAGAAAGCTTAAATCCCTGTCCTCAGATTCAGTAGAGCCCTTAACTTTCAATTTAACCTCGAATTCCGTAGGATCCACCACCACAACACCACGTGTAGGACCTGTCAGTTCTAGATATGGATCCTGCACGCACACAACATTAGTTAAGTTGGTAATAATGCATAGTTCATCCCTAATAAGACTGCATTAGTGGAATATACATTATACATACTGATGACTCCATCCAATACCAATACATAATTCATCTATCAAGCGAAATTGTACTATTGCAATTTAATTTAGTTCATGGTGCGCATAACTGAACTTAAATCTAAGTTAGGCCTTGAAGGATGTTCAAATCTTAAGATCTCATCAGATGCAAGGAATCAGTTTAAACAGATAATAAGTAAAATGAAGCGGAAAAGAGGTAATGTTGATAACTGAGCAGCATAATACAAAATAATAGTACGAAACCATGGTGCAGTGCAGTGCATCGCACAAAGGATGTGAGCTGCATTACACAAATGCTGGAAAAAAAACTAGCCTAAACCATTTGTTGCAGAGTAACAAATTAAGATACTCCCTTCGTTCCAAAATATAAGGAGTGTTAGTTTTCTCAAAAGTCGAAATTGTGCATTTTTACCAAGTTTTTAGAAAAAATAAATCAATATCTACAATATCAAATTTGTGCCATTTGACCTATCACGAAAAGTATTTTCATATTTGATCTATTAGGTACTGCAGATGTTGATATTTTATTTTAAGAGATCTTTGGCCCATGCCTTACAAACAATGGTAACACATCACCAAGAAAAATATATTCAAGAGAACACAATACTATGAGATACAAAAAGATATAACACTAGTGTCAACTGAGGCCAAGAGATGCATTGCGGGACACATTTAAGCGGCTTATAATTCTCGAATGAGCAGTCAAAAGCTACGAAAAAGTTACAACCTTCACAGAATTCCCCTGCACCTGAAAATGTGATGTATATTGACACCAGAGTGCACAAGATTGTACTCAAATAGTCAAATGTGAACCTTCACATTGACAAATACTCCCTCCGTCCGAAAATGCTTGTCATCAAAATGGATAGAAAAGGATGTATCTAGAATTACAATACATCTAGATGCATTTTCTTTTCTTCATTTTGATGACAAATATTTCCGGATGAAGGGAGTAGGAGACAGAGGACGGATAATTGAAACACCAACTAAGTCAATTTAGACTAAATAAGGTTGACGGACATGCATCACATGCAATTTAACTTCTAGGGTGATTGCTTATGTGCAATAAGCTTACACAAAGCTCCCATGGATCAGAGAAATATGTTTCACGCCGAGCTTGTGTACTTATATATTGGCTTCAACCATTGGACAACAGATACTATTATGAGCTAATGCGCAATATCACCCCGCAAAAGAAAAAAGCTAATGCGCAATACGATGGCAATGAAGTTGGTTAACATTTGAGAAAGCATAGGCTGTGAGAGGAGTTAGTTATCTTTCCTCTGCTTGATGTTCAAATTACAAACTAACTCGACCGTTCCATCATATCTAAGCCAGCCGAAGAAGCAGAGGATACATAGTTACGTACCTTCTGGTGGATGATTTGGCAGTTATCCCTGTCCCGAAGAAATATTATATTGCGATTGTGATCCAGATAGTCGCGGGCAGCAACGACACCGAACACATGCAATGGCCACCGTAGAGAATCGTCTATTCCAGCAAGTTTTACTGAAAAGACGTTCAGAGTATGCATGTAGGAGCAGACGGAGAGTTCAGAAGCAGGTGGTTTATCCGTGTAGCGCATCGAGGGGATGAGCGCTGCATATATATGCAAATTTAGCAAGTCACGAATCAATTGAGAAGATTGGAGTAGCCAGCGCTGGGGAGGGGAGCAAGTTGACTACTTACTAGTGTCCTCGAAGCAGCCAAATGTGCCAGCCCACAGCTCCTCCCATTCATGGCAATACATGCAGGCCTCGTCGTAGCTATCGTCAATGCGCGTGTCCTCCTTTGCTTTCACCGCCTTTGCTCCCACCGACGACTTGGCTCTCTTTTCGTCGAATGTCTCCGATGCTTCCAGCTTGTTTGCCGCCACTTGTAGTGCGTCCTTCCTCTTCAAAGTCTTGAGCTGCTTCATCTCCTCCACTTCCATTGTTTTCCTCCTCACCTCCTCCGGATCCATGGCGTTGCTCCTCCCTTGTGCCGCATCCTCCAGCATCTTTATCCTCTCCTGCTCCTCGGCCATCGCAGACTCCTCCCTTGCCTCTGCAATCAACTCCTCAAGCTCTGGATCGATCGCCAGAGCCTTCATCCCCGCCGCCTTGAACCACCGCTCGACTAACGCAAGGGAAACCTAGATTTTCCTCGCGTGCCGGGTTGGGTTCAACAAATATAGGGTGCGTTTTTAGAAGGGTTCTACAAAAATATAAGGGCTGTTTGGTTTATGCCCCCAACTCGCCCTACCAAAATATTGGTCACGTCAAATTCTTTGTATGTTATTTGCTTTGCTGCCAAATATTTGGCTGCCAACGAGTCCCTTGTTCTTTCCTTCACAGATTCTTGCCAAAATTTTGACCAACCCCGGGCGGTGGAATCCCACGCCAAATAATTGGCAAGCCAATATTGGCAGGGCATCTATAGGCAAGAACCAAACATACCCTATGGATTCGATTACAAGAAGGATTGGGGTGCGTTTGGATTGCGCCTACAGCAACCCTGCCAACCGAGGGCGTGCCAAAATTTTGGCAGACGAAACGGCCGCCAGCGCCTCGCCAAATATTTGGCTGTAGAATAAACGGGAAGGACCGACGACTCTGGGGCGAGCCAAATTATTGGATCTCAACCAAACGCAAGCATCGCTCTGGTTAACTACCAAAAAATTGGCCAGGCGCATCAGGGCTCTAAACCAAACGGACCCATAGTGTTTTTAGAAGGGTTCTACAAAAATATAAGGGTTGTTTGGTTTATACCCCCAACTCGCCCTACCAAAATATTAGTCACGTCAAATTTTTTGTATGTTATTTGCTTTGCTGCCAAATAATTGGCTGCCAACGAGTCCCTTGTTCTTTCCTTCACAGATTCTTGCCAAAATTTTGGCCAACCCTGGACGGTGAAATCCCACGCCAAATAATTGGCAAGCCAATATTGGCAGGGCATATATAGGCAAGAACTAAACATACCCTATGGGTTCGATTACAAGAAGGATTGAGGTGCGTTTGGATTGCGCCTACAGCAACCCTGCCAACCGAGGGCGTGCCAAAATTTTGGCGGACGAAACGGCCGCCAGCGCCTCGCCAAATATTTGGCTGTAGAATAAACGGGAAGGACAGACGAGTCTGGGGCGAGCCAAATTATTGGATCTCAACCAAACGCAAGCATCGCTCTGGTCAACTACCAAAAAATTGGTCAGGCGCATCAGGGCTCTAAACCAAACGGACCCTTGGCCTTCAAAGCCTTCAAGGGGGTGGGGCTGCTATAACGCGCCCGCTAACGTACAAGATGGGCCAGCCCATTAGCAGCTGGCGGCAAGCGTGTGCGTGAGGACCCCGCTGCGGGCATTTCCTATTTGGCAAGCCGGTACCGAAAATCCTATTCGACGCTAACTGCGTCAAAATGTCGAGCATTCGCACACACGATCTCCCACTGCGAGGCAGCCTGTTTTGTCGAGATACGCTAGAATTGGGCCGGCCCATTTCCCCACTGCGAGGCAGCCGGTTTTGGGAACCTTCCAGAAGGTTCCCTGAACCGGGTTTTTTATTTTTATACCAGTTTTATTTTTTTCTTTCGTTTGTTTTTTTATGATTCATTTCCTTTTTTCCATTTTCTGCTTCTTTTTCTTCTTTCCTTTCCTTTCTTATGTTTTCTTTTTTCGTTTTTTTATTTCTTCTGAAAATTGTTAGAAAAGTTTTAATTTGTTCATGTTTCTAAAAAATGTTCAAAAATGTTCGTATTTAAAAAAAATCACAATTTCAAAAAATTTCACATTTTTTAAATATTGTTTCGCACGTTTCAAAAATTGTTCTTGTCTTACAAAAAATCTTTGGAATGTTTTTTTTCATTTTTTCACAATTTTAAAAAATGTTCCTGCTTCAAAAATTATCCACAAATCCCAAAATTTGTTCATATTTTCATTTTTCCAGGAGTTTAAAAAAGGTTCCTGTTTAAAAAATTGTTCACAAGTTTAAAAAATCGTGTTTGCAAATTTTGTTCAGGAATTTCGAAATATGTTCACGTTTCCAAATTTTGTTTTGGAATTCAGAAAAATGTTCCGTTTCAAAAGAATTCTTCATGATTTTCAAAAACTGTTCTTGTTTTCAAAAGTTGCTCACAATTTCAAAAAATTATTTGTGTTTTAAACAGAATTATTGTTTTCTATATTAGTTCATAATTTCAATAAATGTTCACAGTTTCAAATTTTGTTCCCGTTTTCAAAATATGTTCGCAGTTTCAAAAAAATATCCGGGTTTCAAAAAATGTTGTTGTTTTCGAAATTTGTTCATAATTTCAGAAAAATGTTCGTGTTTCAAAAAATGTTCAGGAATTTCAAAAAATGTTCTCATTTTCAGGTAGAAACACAATTTCAGGACAATGTTGATGTTTCAAAAAATCTTCGCAGTTTCTACATTTTGATCGCAATTTCAAAAGATGTCCCCGTGTTTTTTGTTCTCATTTCCAAAAAACATATGAATACAAATATTGTTCGCATTTTAAAAGAATAATCGTGTTTTAACTTTGTTGGTTTTGAATTTAAAAAATGCTTTTGTTTAAAAATATAGTTTGTGGTCTTAGAAAATATTTGGGAATTTCCAAAAGAAGAAAACAAAAAATCAATATTTGAAAAACTGTTTGTAATATACAAAATAATTGCGGCATTTCAAAACTGTTTGCAACTTTGAAGGAATGTTTTTCAAATCTCCACCTTGCTGTGTATTCTTATAGTGTTTTGCGCCTATATGCTGTGTGCGAGGTCAGGGGATCGAACCCTGTTGTTCTCGTTTGTTTCACAGCTACTTTTTACGTCGCGTGATAGCAAAACAACGAACGGGCGCGTTGGTGGGCCGGCACAGTCGCGCACCCACCCTGTGCGTCGAGTTTCTGCATGACGCAAAATGCATCATATAGGGACTCCCAGCCGGTACTGCTAAAAAAATGGCAAGCCTGTTTCGCGAACCAAGCTTTTCGATGAGTTTTTTTTTGTTCCATGTTTTCTTGTCCGTTTCTCTTTCCCTTTTTCTGTTCTGTTCCTATCTTTTTTGCTTTGGTTTTTTATTTTCGTTTATTCTTTATCATTTTCTTTTTTTATTCTTTACTCATGGAAATTTGAATGTGTAATTTTTTTCAAATTTGATTTTTTTCTCAAATTCATAAACTATTCAAATGCACGACAATTTTTTCAAATCCGTGAATTTTTCAGTTTTTTCACAACTTTTCCATAATACGCAATTGTTTTTCAGATATGTGGTATTTTAAAAAAATATATTGATCAACTTTTTCCCAAATTTGTGAACTTTTTTCTCAAAATCCGTGAACTTTTCTCAAATCCATGAAATTTTAAAATCAATGAAGTTTTCTAAAATTGGTGAATTTTCTCAAATCTGTGAACTTTTTCTCAAACGATCTGAACTTTTTAAAAATACATGAACACTTTTAAAAATTGAATGAACTTTTTTCAAATACATGATTTTTTTACTTCATGAAATTTTTTGAAATTCATAAACTTTTTTGAATTTGTGATTTTTTTTCAAATCTATGAACTTTTTAAAAAAATCGCAGTTTTTTAGGTCAACTATCAGCCAATCTGGATTGAGCGAACGAGACAGGTTTTTTATCGGGCGAAGCAGTTCACACAACGCTAGCGAGCACGTGAGCACCGGTTCACACGACAACGCTTAAGCTCTGAATATGAGTTCCCCTTGCTGCGCTGGTATTATATCTCACTTAGTGCGAGATATATCACCCTTTTGTTTAATGGGCCGGCTAAATTGAATGTTTTTTAAGAGACAATGGAGAGGATCTTAAAAGTCATACGGGTTTAGACCTTCCGATCATTTTTTTTGTTTTTCTGTGTTTCTTCAGTTTTTATTTGTTTTCTTTATTGGTTTTCCTTGGGTTTTTCTATTTGTTTACTTTTTATTTTTATTTTTAAATACATGTTGACTTTTTTTAATAATGGTTGAACATTTTTCATACTAGTAAATGCATATGTGCAATGCACAAATTTAATCGGGAGCAAAATAAGTACATGTTGATATTAGACAGGATATGCTATGCATTAATAATGTTATTTGACAAACGTCACCCGAGAAAGGGATGGAAGGGAACGGTTTTTTATGGAAAGTTTATGCGGCGGGAGGTGGAAACCGGTTATAAAGTTTCTGTCGAGCGTACCAGGTTTCATATGGTGGGATCATCTCCCTTTGAACCGCTCCTCCGCTCAACTCGCTTCTAGCTTGATGCACGCCTTCGCTCGGCTCCTCGGCTCATGGTGGACATCCTCCTGATGATTGTGGACCTCTTCGTCAGATGTCACATCCCAAAATTTTCTCAAATTTGGAATATTAAAAAAAATCATAGGGAGTTACTTTTAAAAAAACATTGCTTGTGATTGATTGATATTAGCTAGTTTTGACTAGGAGTAGATTAAATTGATTGAAAATGTGGCTCAGGTAAACATTTAGAATTGTTTAGAACCATAAATTGTCATTTAGAGAATATTTATAAAATGCAAAATTGGAATCACAAATTTTAGCGACCTTAGTTTAATACTGGGTTGGAAATTAATTCTCATAACTTTTTCTTTTTTTTGCAAGGAAAACTTCCGATCTATTCATCAACTGTCAAGAGAGTACAAAGAAAATCAGAAGTAAAAAAATACATCTAGGTCCATAGACCATCTAGTGACGACTATTTTGAGTTTTGTTAGGGTTCGTGTCCTACTAAGAGATGCGAGCGCGGAGGCGGCTCTCTACAGATGGAGTAATGTCCTCCCCGCCTAGTCGCTGTTCCGATGGTGTTCCTAGCATCGTCGGAGGGCATGTGAAGTTTATCTCCGGTGGATCTCATGGGACTCGATCGGGGTTTGTCTTTGGTGGATCCACATGGATCCGGTCTTCGTTCGTCTGTGTTCCTGTGTCTATAGGTTGGATACTTTCGATCTACGTTTCTCTTTATCGACGACGGTTGCTGTTCTGGTGCACTGGTCCTATTGGGCCATAGCACGAAGACTTCCTGATTGTTTACTACGACAAGATTTGCCCGGCTCCGATAAGGAAGGGGCGCTAAAGTTGAATTAATACCCCAAAATAGGGTGAT